TGCCGCGGCCGAAATTTTCATTTCACTTTCAATCACCACCCAGCATCATATGTATATTTGTAATGAAAACTCAGAGGTGGGAAGGCGAATAAGTGATTCCGGAGTTCAAGGTATAGCAGTGTATTTAGATGACCAACTGGCGACTAAGTTTTCGGTCATCTAGACAAGATCCAGTGAATTCAGTTTCCACTTACATGAAGACAAGTGTAGTTTTTTCATGCAATCAACTAAATATCTGTAGTGGGCAAAAATGGACGTCTAGAGGATTGGGCAAATATCACAGAGATTCAAATGATGACTGCTCACATAACGTGAGTATACTATGTTCATTCCTGAAGTTAATTAGTTTCTGCAGTTCTTTTGTTCTGGATATATTTCAGTTGACAATAACCTTAAACAAGCTAATAAAATAATGTGCAAAATGGACTTGGTTTAATGAATGCTGGAGTGTATATGAAAAGATTTAAAAAATATTATCTTGCAATATGTTGCTCGTACATTAAAATCCTAAACTGAAAGTGGACGATGCATCTAATTATGGTATTGGTATAAACATATCTCATGTGTTTTCAAATGGTGTTGAAAAGCCGATTGCACATGCATCAAGAACGTTAACAAGGGCTAAATAGAATCATCATTAGATGGAGAGAGAATATCTTGTGTTGGTTTTCGTAGTCAATAAGTCATACAAAAATCTTGATAGTTGCAGTTTCTACTTTGCTTACTAACCATAAATGCCTCCTATCAATTTTCTATTTTAAGAAAAAAAAAATCCCATTTTACAGAGCGAATCGTCTTCAGAAATGAGCAGTTATTTTGCTGGGTCACAATTTCAAAATAAAGTCCATCTATGAACTTGCTCAAGTTGATTCACTTTCACAACTTCTTGGAAGTAACAAGGTGGAAAACGAAGATATGGTGATTGCTGCCGTTTCCGTTGAAGAGCAAATGAAAAAACTTCTGATTAACGCCGTCAATCTCGCATCCTTATCGTTCACAAATGTAAGAAAAACTAGTTGTCTGTACCATGTGATACGTAACTTCATCAACTTTCTTCGTTGAGGTTAGGTATCGCATATCAGTTACCCAAAAATCAAACAGTTTTCCCTGATGGGATTCCCTCTCAGTAGTTGACAGTTGCCTAGTGTTTGGTGACTGTGTAGTTATTCCTCAAGTAGTAGAGAATACAGTACTCCGTCAGCCCCACTCATCTCACCAAAGCAGTCGGATGTAGACAGTTGCCTGGAGTTCTTTGTGTTGGTTTAACCTACATAATGAATTGGAAAGCATGGCCTGCATTTGAAGTAGTCTACATTTGTCTGTTTGGCTCAGACTAACAGAGAGAGATTTGATGGACTGCTATCTCGTCTTGGTATGGTTATCCTGCCCTGTTTTCTTCTATTCCAGTCCTACTTCAAAAGTTGTACGTCGAGATAGGTTCTGTCTCAGAACACGTTACACATATTTGTGTCACATCAGCTGGTGAAGTTTACAACCTGATCCGTTGATTTATGCATCGCCCTTCATCTAATCTCAAAATGGCTCCATGCTGATTCCGCTGTACGCGGGCGGTACTGCGGAGAAGCCTGCTGTCAATCACCTGCAATCTGATATTCTCCACTTTTAACGGCCATGTTTCACAGCCCGGTAATAGAACGGAGTGACATATCAGTGTATGATCGAAGTACCAGTAACATGGAGTACGTCATTTGTGATTGATTACTGTTATTTAAATACAAACTGTTTTCTTAAAACGATAGCAAAGCAAATATATATAAACAGCAAAAGAGCAAAATGGTTTACCCTTTCAAGAATTGAGCGACTTTTGTTCGATATAGCTAAATCAAGTTTTGCTTGGTACAACTGACTTTTCTTTTGTGATTCCTTAAATGCCTCAGGATTTCTAGCAGTTGGATTATTTATAAAATTACCCGGATAATGACATGGTAAATCCCATGTTCCAACATAATGACCCCATGGACAATCACCAGGTTTTTTATCTTGACTACGAAACAGGTGTCCACGATTGTCAGCTATAAAGTATGTTGTGCATGTTTTTGCACGAGGACGCTAAAATTTAATTTCAACAAAAAGTAGTGACTGAGATTTCCTGAAATTAAAATGTTTATTACACGACTACATAATGTAATGAAGGTAACACAAAACTTATGATGTCAGTAAGTAATGCTCTTCTGAATTCCATTTAGTGGTTTAATACTAATTGTATTGTTAGGAAATTTGGAATTTCGAGGTTCTATCTTAAAAGCAATGTAAATTAAAAGTGCGGGAAGACATTTATCCAATGTTTCTTGATTTTCACTTATCCACTTCCAAACATTATGACCACAGAAAGTATATATTTTAATTATTCTATAACAACTTATACACCTAAGGAGTTGTACAAAATACATTCAAACCTCTAGGTCGCTATTGATGCTTTCTTCAAGATTTTCAGTTGTGGAACAGGTTTGAAATGCATTTAGAATGTTCCCGACTTTTTAAAATTAGTCATTCGGAAAATTATTTGCTAGGTAAAACTCAATTTTCTTACGAAGTGATAGAGCTGGGAAGAGAGGTACTCTTAGGTATAATTTTCCTATGGCACATTTCAACCAAACAAAATATAGAGCCGTAAGCGAGTTTGATGTTGATAAGGTTAATATTTATGTGATCCCCTTTGTTTACCATTGATAAAGTGAGTCATTAAAGTTGTTCAATGACATAACGCAGTTTGCTGATGATTAGTTTTTAAAATGAATAAATAAAATGTAATGCATCTATGTTAGTACACTGCGTTCATTAGTTTTATTACCTAAATACAATTTAAATTTGCTACTAATATGTCACGAAAACATAAAACGTAACTAGAGAGATATAGGTTAATACAGAAACAGCAGATTCTAAACACGTTGGTTGACTTGGAAAGCCGTCACTACCATAAAGTTACTCTTACCATAAATCTTGAGCGGAGAATTTTAAAAATTGTTCTAGTTGACAAAGAAGAAATGGATGTACTCCTGAGTAAAACATCCAAACTACGAAATTCGAACATCCACATCCAACTTGACTGGCCTTTCGAGGACCAGATAAAAAGAAGAGAAGCGATCGTTGAACTTAAGGCTCCACAAATTAATGAAGAAGACCATCTTAAAACTAGGTTTTCGGGTTGTGGGGTCTTGGAAACGAGTGCCTCCAAGGCCTATTTGGGTGTGTCATTGAACTCTTCAAATGCTGTGAACGTGATCTACACCAATGTTCGCAACGTTAGAAGTAAAATGACAGGCCTCGAGACTAATCTGTGAAGTACGTACTGATGTAGCAGCTCTTACTAAAACCTGGCTAATAAAGGATTTAGATTTTACGCCACTTCTTACAGGGTATTACTGTATAGGGATACGGTTTAGGGTTGCGACATACTACTCTCTACCCTATGTCTGTGATGACGACAATATATGATGAGTTAATTCCGAAGCGCTTGGCAGTGGTATCTGCGAAGTGGCCAGTTGTGAGGTGAAGTTAAAGCAAGGTTTCTGTACTACTGGGGTAGTTGACTATAGTCTGTTTCGCCTTGCAAGTGACTTCGTGCTAACTCATATATGTAACTGGAGTAAAAGCGACAGGTGCCTGGCAGTTGGGGATTCGAAAGCTCCACACATAAACTGGATGGAGCTTACAGTCTTAGTATCGGGCAGTTGCTTCAAAAATGACCGGCTTTAACGGTACTAAAATCTGCTTTAGTTCAAAATTTAACTCGTGCAACACAATACGATTTCGGACACAAGCCGTTGTTATTAAATATGGGTTTAACCCACCAATTTGAAGATATTATGGATCTACGATTGTTTCCGTCGTTAGCTAACTGCGATCATGTAGTGCTGAATTTCGGTCTTCAAAAGTATGTTTGATTACAACACTGGTTTCTCTAGGCCTAATCTGTGGCGCGCAGACATTTTAGGTGTGAGAGTATGCGGTCGGTAAAGATTGGACCATCAACAAGGACTCATCAATCGAGAATACATGGAATAGTTTTAGGACTCTATTTTAAGAGGTAACGATGCCATGTATTCCATGGTCACTCGACGAAGATCCTCATATCGCCCTCCGCGGTTTAATAAAGACATTAGGGACTATTTACGTGGAGGGAACGTCTGTAGGACTTGTTTGTAGAAACTGGACTGGAAACATTTAAAACGGTGCTGTTGAGTCCATAATCTCTTCAAAACTGATTACAGTCTCGAATGTCCGACGAGAAACAGCTTGAGATGGACTGTCGAAATTGTCCTTAAAGGATGTTCGCATTCATCAGAAGGAGGACTAAAAGAAAATGTGGAATTCCCTCTCTAGCGACGGATGAAAAGTCCGAAGGTCTGGCGGAATCTAATCTGTCCAAAGATAAATGTCTATCGGGTTACTTTAGTGAAGTCTACTCTGTAAATCATGATGATGCAGTGCTTAATAGTGGTATCACTGCCCCACTAACGGATAGTGTTCATGAAAAAGGAAACAGTCTTTCAGTTGCTCATTATTCTTAAACCTGGAAAATCCCCGGGTTCGACGGGTTACACCCCGGACTGCTATCTTTGCCAGTGGATATTGTTGCTGAACCAGTCACTGAACTTTACAATATGTCCTTAAATTAGACTCGCCTCCATAGACACTGGAAAGATGCTATGATCAGTCCAGTTTTTAAGATCGATGGTCGCCAGCTGCCGGCTAACTACCACTCTATGAGTTTAACCAGCATGATTACTAGGGTTTTAGAAAACATAATTCATGAAAAAGTACTTTACCACATTGAATCAAGTAATCGTTTACCACAAAAACAGCATCGTGTTACTGCTGGATACTCCTGTGTAACAAACTTCCTTATTGCAAGAGAGAAATGGGTTGCAGCCCGTGGTTGCGAGCTGTCAGTAGACGTTGTGTTTATAGACTTCAGTAAGGGATTCGATAAAGTGTCTCGCGTAAAATTGCTAAGAAATCTCTCCTCTTTCGGGTTCGGCGCTTCACTGAGAACCTGAATTATATACTTTTTGTACGATAAAAGGCAGAGTGAGGGTTAGTGAGACTGTCCAGGTAGAAACCCGTGATGAGTGGAGTTCTCCAAGGAAAAATCCTAGGTTCGCTACTTTTCTAACTATATGTCAATGAATTACCGCATTTGCTCAACTCTACGGTGCTTCTATTTGCTGATGACGTAAACGTTTGGAGAATCATACGTAGTGATGCTGATAGGTATGCACTTCAAGCGAATTTGGATGAAATGGTAGGTCGGTCCAAACGTTGGTACCTGCAAGTTAACTCTAGTAAAAGGGCAATAATGTCTATTGGGTATAGTAATTATTTGCAGTATCCCACTGATGGTACACCACTGTTCCCAGTCTTTGAACTGGAAGACTGAAGTGTCACCATAAGTCAATTTCTGAAAACTTCGGCACACTAAAATGTAGCTGTAGCAAAGAGTTTCCGTATGCCATGGTTTCGATCAGGATATTTTGAAGAGACTCTACTCTACTTACGTTATACCTCACTTGGAATACTGCATTTAGGCGGCTAGCCCATCCCTAGAGCATGTTTAAGGGGTACGTACTAAGCTTGCAGCACGGATTGAAACAGGACAACTGGCCTCCTACTGATCAAATCAAGAAACAGAAGAACCAAAATGCAGATTAGCACAAGGAGAGAAAGGTCTGGAAATAGTGGGTTTCCGCATAGTGAGGTTTCGGCGCAAAACGATGCCGAAGTCTATCGTCTTGTACACAAATCCACGTAGTCTCCTAAGCAAGTGGACTGAACTAAGTAAGGTAATGAGCATAAGAAGTTCTGACATCATTGCTATCTCCGAAATTTGGCTCTCTTCCGAGATCAGTGACAGTGAAATACATTTACACGGATTCGTTCCTTTTAAAAGTTATAAGTAAGCAAGCAAAGTTGGCAGCGTCATCCATTATGTTAGGAATACCTTGACTGCAAGAGACATATAAACACTTGCACAAGAAACTGGGGCTTGTGAAATGCTGCGCTGCCAACTAAAATGCAAGAGACAAGGTTTTATTTAATATAATCGTAGTATAGCGAAGCCCTGAATCCCATTCAGGGCACCAGACTTCCTCCTGTGTAAGCTGGCCCTCTGGACAGATAACCGCCAATGCTTAATTGTAGGAGAATTCAATGCACCATCAGTTAACTGGGATAAACGAATAACAGAAGCATCACCTAATTTGTTTGATCATAAGTTACTAAAGCAACAATTTCATTGGCCTTCGTAATGCACATTAGAGCAACAACCAGATACGATAATCAGCATCCTCCATCAGTTCTAGACATAGTATTCTCACACAGACAGATGATTCATGCCCCACCAGGCACCTCTCACCCCTTGGTAAAATTGATCATGCTGTGGTCATCTTCTGATTCACAGCAGCCGTCTTGCACCGGCCCGATGCCCCAGCTAGACTCAGTGTACGGAAAGCGAGTATGGCTGCTATTAGGATGACCACCTCTTCGGTGGACTGGACAGTCAATCCAGAAGCCTCAGTTGAAACTCCGTGGTGCTCCGTTAAACAGTTATATGCACGAGTGACTCAACCGTTTATTCCGCGAGCTGTTTCGAGGGGACGGAAACACTGTCCTCCGTAAGTAAACCACGAAATCCGAATCTTGCTAAAAAGCAAGAAAAGGTGTTGGAGTCTTGCCACCCACCTCAGTACTTTCGAAACGATGAATCATTACGAAAAAGCCCGAAATAATTGTGTTGCCGCCTTCCGTCAATCTCAAATATGCTTTGGATCACATCTTGCCCAGGCTGCACTGTACATTCGAAGAGGTTGCTTTTTAATATGAACTATAGAAATAAGATATGCCATGGTATACCCACCCTAATCAAAGAGACAAAAACTGACATTTTAGTTGAAGACAGTGGGGAAAAGCAGTAGCTATGCCTGGATTTTTTGCTGAGGTTTTTACACAGGAACCTTCTATGGATACTGATTCAACAGTAGAAACATTGACGTCCAACAGAATAAACACTAAGGACATCAACTGCAATGATGTACTTAAGGCATGTAGAA